GTATCTCATCCAGACAGGTTTTGTGAAGATTTATTTTGCTTTGCCAAGCTGTGATGGCGAACATGTATTATTTTGGGGATTGTCAGTAAATTTATGGCCAAGCAGCTATGTGCTCACTTTTAAAGGTTAGTCAGTAAATATTCTGACAAGAGTGTAACACTACTATTGTTTGGGTTTCTTCATAATATATCAGTGCTGTGAAGGCTTTCTTAGGAAAGAAAGTTCTTCCATTTTTATAGCTTTAAAAATTAAAAACATTATAAGGATAATACAGAATACAGTGATTATCATGTGCTTCTCAGGCTGGCTCAGTTGGTAGCACTCTCACATCTGAGTCAGAAGAAAGTGGGATCAAATCCCACGTTGGTACTTTGAACTCATATTTCGGCCAACACTCCGATGTTGGGGGTGTGTTGCATTGCTGAAGGTGCCGTCCTTCGGATAAGGTTTTAAACCGAGGCCGCGACTGCCTGTTCAGGCGGATGTTAAAAGATCCCATGACACTATTCGAAAAGAGAAGGGAGTTTCTCCTTGTGCGCTGGCCAACAATCCTTCAAATTAAATTAGTCACTCACTCCATGACTGTTTCTGGGATATTTCTGTATGCAAAACTGGTTGCCCCATTCGTCCACAACACACAGTCACTCCACTTTACAATATATCGTAGGGTCCTGTAGCTCAGTGGTTAGAGCACTCGTCTCCCAAGCGAGAGACATGGGTTCTATTCCCAGCCAGGGCGAAATGTTGGGCAAGTTTCCTTACTCCACATGCCTCTGTTTACCTAGCAGTAACTAGTAACCCGGTTGTTAGTCGATTGGTGGACCACTTTTCCGGGGATTATAATCCCTAAAAAAAACAATAATAATTTGGTCACGCAATCCACGACTGTTTGTGGGGCACTGCTGCGCGCAATTGTTTGCCACGTTTCACACACAATATAATTAATTCACTTTACAGTATATTCTGTAAAGTGTTTGAGACGTCTAGAAGACATGAAATGCGCTATATTAAATGCAAGGATTATTATTATTATATCCTGTGAAGCACTTTGGGATGTCCTTCTGACATGAAAGGCACTGCTTCAAATATAAGGATTATTATTTTATCGTATGTGAGTTTTTTTTATATAGACAAACACAGAATCATTTTGTACATAACAAAGTCTGACAAACATCCAAGAAGTGAATGATCAATTAGGTTGAGGTCAGGGAATTCCCCAAAAGGGATTAAGTCAGACATCTCGGGCTGATCACCTATCTATATCCCACCATCCAGTCATAGAACAAGACAGCAGATACTCAATTGGAAATAAAGCATGATATGATAACAGGAGGAATTAAGTTATTCTCTCTTAATCGGTTATTGCGTCTTGACGACCAATGGCCCTATGAAATCAAGTGGGAGACATTGCCTAATCCTCAGTCCGAATATTGTGAGCTTCTCCCAACAGGATAAAAGAATGGGTCTCATCCCCTACTGAACGCTCACATTTGGACATGTGGGTCCTTTCTTATAAGGCATGGGCAAATAGCAGAGATGTTTAATACTTGTGCCTCCAAAAGAACTGCTTCTTCAAAAATGTTCAAGTGGCTTGGTCTCCATTAGATAATAACTCTCCTTTACTGGTTGCTAATTATCCTAAGAGAGATTTTCTCCATTCTCTGTTCACCACTAACTGATAAACTTGCCACCCAACCATCAGACCAACATTAGGTTTGCAAAATGAATTCTTACACCAGCTCTAACCATTTGAATGCAATTTCCAACATACAGTGTTTGTCTCACTAATTGAAGGTGAGCAAACTAAAACCCAGTTTAGTTACAGACAGTTCATACAATACAACTAAATGCTAGTGATTCAACCTTAGCAGTGTGCTTTTGCATTATTGTGGTTTAAGGGAACATTCTCCACTGAATGGCTGGGATGTTTAGGCTCCTTGCAAGACAGTGATATCAACGCAAGCTATCCTGTTTTAGCTGGTTAGATTCCAGCAGTACCCCAACGCACACTCCGGGATCCCCAAGCCTTGGCTCTTGCCAACCTGCGACCAATACTTTCCGGAATTAGGTAAGCAGGATGCGTTCCTCCAGGGAGAGAGTGCACATTCCATTCAAACAATCTATCTTTGGAGGTGGGATGCATGGAATTTTCAGTTTGGTTTGGTTGCTCTGAAGCATGGTGATGGATATCTATAATAATAATAATAATCCTTGCATTTGATATAGCAATTTTCACGTCAGGAGGAAGTCCCAAAGCGCTTCACAGAACACACTGTAAAGTGAATTGACTGTATATATGTGGGCGAACGCGGCAGCCAATTGCGCACAGCAATGTCCCACAAACAGTCGTAGATTGAAAATGACCGATTTATTATTGTTTTTTGTTTTGGAGGGATTATTATTAGGCGTGTGGAGTAAGGAAACTTGCCCAAGGTTTCGCCCTGCCTGGAATTGAACTCAGGTCTCTCACTTGCATGTGTTAGACATCTGGCTGATCCCGAAAAGTCTTAGGGCACAGTACAATTCTATAACCCTGCTCATGTACCTTTGTGATACTGAACTATAACTAGTACAGGAACAAATTTCAAAGACGGTTTCTCAAGGAACCACAGAGTCACCGTAGTGCAAATTAATGTATTCACATGCAACTGATATTGTTAATGAGAGTGGTGCGATATGGACAAAATTCCTATTGATGTCACGCCAGGAAGTGTACTACATAAAATTATTGCTCCCAAGGGTTTGACCAACAAAATAAATGTCAACAAAGTCTAATTTTCCTTTATATCATTTTGGAGCTTTATAGGACCATCTAAAAACAAGCATCTAAATTAAGACCAAATTTAAGAATTTTCCAAAATTTTGCAAGATCTTAAAATTTTAAGAGAATGACCTTAAGGTTAGGACCATCACAGATGTTGGGCCTCTAGTGTAGGAGCACCATACAAACAAAACAATTAGCTCACTTGCATTTGGCTTGACAGGCATTTCAGTGTCAGGAAAATCAGGAGAACCCGAGTGAAATTCAGATTTTCCATTGCCACTGCACAGAGGAAATTCAACTGCATAATGGAAAGTTAGCGCCACAGCAACCAAATGATACTTAATGCCTCCACGAACGTCTGACCTCATTGCGTAAAGCCCCTTGTAACAATTTATTTCAAGATATCCAAATAAACAGAAGTGGAACCAGAAAAACCTATAGGAGCAGTTACCTGAGATTCAGCCACCCACCCACCCCTCGCTATCATTACTTGAGGAGTCGAGATGAGAGCATCTGACATCTTTGTTGGTACATGTTCGAAACAGCATTCTGCCATTTCCACCAACACTGTAAAGCCAATGTAGAAGCAGTGAAGGTTTAAAAGGAGACAGGATCCCCAGTTTGCTGGTGCATTTTGAGCCTCCGGCATAGAAATATGAAAGCATCAAAAGAAACTTTAAAAATAGCACTGCAGTCTGAGGTACAGGTGTGACTGCAGGTGCAATTGCTTCTTCTCTCTCATGAGAGAAGCTGTGAAACAGAACAAAGGCAATAAAACATTTTAAAGTAAGCAAATAGGTTAGGTGTTAGGCTGGCTCATTTGGTAGAATTCTCTGAATTTACACGTTATGAATGAAGTCACAAATGAAGTCTTGGGCGGGAACTGAATGTCAGAAGTGCAGTCGTTCGGATGAGATGTTAAACCGAGCTGCTGTTTGCCAAAGAACCATCAACACTATTCAAAAGGAGATGGGATGATTTCTTTTAATGTTCTGGCCATCAATCCCCAAGAAAAATAAAAGTCATTCACCTCATTGATGTATGTGGGACATTCCAAATTGACTGCCACGCTCATCTACAAATATAAGGTCATTACATTTTACAGTAAAAACTTGTGAGGCTCTTTGGGATATTTCAATGTGAGGAGGTACTATATATATCAAATGCAAGGATTATTATAAATTTGAGATGGGCAAGACATTCTGCAGGCATGTGGAATCCCTTAATAAGGATGAAGAAATTTTACTACAAATATATTATGTAAACTACAAGTGATTAGCCAATTTATAAAACAATTAGAGTGATCAACAACAACAACTTATATAGCGTCCTTCACGTGTTTCAGTGTGCTGAAATTCACCAGAGTGAAGTTAAAATTAATTTTCAGCTTTGCATTTGCAATTCATAATGAAATGAAAACTTAAAAATGAAAATCACGCACAAAATATAGTTCACTAGTGGATCGTTACTTTAAAAATGTTTACAAGCAACTTGAATTACCCTTATAACATATTATCACTAACATCATAAAAAGATTTGCAAACATTGCAGGATTTGTAATAAAAAGACAAACAGAGCAGAGAGAAAAATACACCAAATCCGCTACTAATTTGTACCCAATTCTTTTGAATGAAAAAGTATGAATTAAAATGAAAAACACAAACTCTGTGCAGATTTACCTGCAAGCACAAAGAAGCAGAGATCTTGTTACTACTGTATTTTGAATACGACACCATTATGCTGCCACTTCAAAATCTTAAATCAAGCCTCCTGCGCAATAAATTCTGGGCACATTTATTGGCATCCTCTTTGAAAAGTTTCTGCTGTCATTAGGTCACGTGGTGTGTAATCAACACTGGGATCTGAGGGCGCGTTACAGACCGGCATGTGGGGGGGGGGTCGGCGGCTAATCATCCAGTTCAAAACCTTACAAATGGAACCTATGACTTGTTTATCTCAAAGAGTCAGGAAATCAGGCTACTTGATTGGCTAGGAAATCTCAGGCAGCATCTCAACCAAACCAGAGAAAGGCTCCTTTCATAATAAATCAAATTGCAGGAAATACATTCCTGTTAACATTAACTATGGCCAGAGTCCCAATTGGCTCCACCGATATCCAGCAAAATAAATAGGAACAGTCTCTCTGCTACTATTAACTTACTATTTACCCTAATCTGTGTAACAGATTGGCTCTGACTATGGCTTGAATGATTCTTTCCTTCTGTGAGTTGCTTACCATATGCTGTATGGTTCCATAAATCTGCTTCAGGAACTCCTGTAATTTGGACAGGTGTAGGCAGACATCTTGCTGGGATTCGAAAGTGGTGGTCTGGCCCCACTCGATGGCCTTATTCAACCAGAACTCGAAGCTGGAAGCCAGAATGGAAGTTGCTTTGGCCATACCACAAGCCACAAAACTTGAAATCAGCCTTTAATGCCCATTTGAAGAGAAAGGATTCCTTCCACTCACGCAACTCAATCTGCAAAAGAATGAAGGGAATTCTCATTGAAGATTTCTGAACAGTTTGTAAAATAAGAGACGTACAAATATAATGAACCTTTTGTGCCAAAAACAGCAGCAATTGAGGTCTAATAAGTAAATTGCTTTAAAATGTGTTAACCAGCTGGGGCTCAAATTTTTACCATCTGAATTTGTCATCACCAGCATTTCATTAGAGCAGCAATAAAACACTGCATTCTATATAGTAGCAATTCAACCACAATTTTAAGACACGTGTGTGGAACAAACAATTGAAATCCTCCACATTTCTCCTATGTCCAGTTGTGAATTCATTCAAAAAAATGAATTTAAAAAAAATTAATGAAGGGGTCAAGAATTATCAGTTTCTGATAGCAATAACCAGCATACGTTGGTAGATCACTCTTCAATGCTGTCTACGGTTGGGAGAGACTCATAGATTGTTTGAAGCACGTTAGCGTTACATCAACATTTAGTATTGTAAATTAAAAAAGGCACGAAGTCCATTGCCAGACCTGGATTAAAGGTTTATTTGGCCCCAGGCACAGCATGAAACTGAGGCCCCCTACATTCCACCACTCGTTTCCAGTTAACGTTCTAGGCATATCTCAATGCACAAAGTAAACATTCAATGCCAGTTTCAAAAGAAGAAAAATAGGGTGTTTTACATTTGTGTAAAGAGGGTGTGAAGCTACGAACAATCTGAAATAATCCGACTCATTTACACCGAAACCCAGAAAGTAGACGGTAACCTGAACAAACAACCGCTCCAGCTAAGTAACATGTAGAGTCTTAATGCACCATAATAAATATCCATTGCAAAGTAAACAATATGAAGTAATATTGTTTAAATGTGAATAAAATTAACCAATGTAAATTTGCGCTCAGAAATTAAAAAGCAATCAATATAACTTTGAATCACCTGCTCCACCATGTTGAATAATCATGGGAGGTAGAGATGAATATATGAGAATTTTTTACAGAGATAATCAACAACTGCTTCTTGTCAGAACATATGATGAACAGATGCTATATTGGATTTAGTATTTAGCCGCCCTGATGTTGTGAGGATAAGAGCAGTGCCTGGTGCAGCATTGGGCCATACAGAGCGGAAGGTCGCAGGTTCAAATTCCGGTCTGCGCTGTGTTAGTAGATAGGGTGGGTTGGGCCACCATTGGTCACTGGGATTGGTTTAGGGATGGGAAATACTCCCATCAGCCAGGATTCCCGCTCCAATAGTTATGCAGAGACTCATGTAGGAAGGTGTATCTATATGGATTTCAGACAAGGACAAGATCTGGCTGAGTTGTGACCATCCATACTGTTCAGGAATCTGCCATCCCAACTGTCAAGCTCACATTTAACCCTTGCATTGAAAACAATACAACAACAACAACAAAATTACATTTGTAGAGCGCCTTTCGTGTTGGGAGGATGTCCCAGACGCTGGACAGACAGAGTTTCGGACCCGAGCTGGTGGTCGGGATCGGGGAGGCCGGGGGGGAAGCAGGGAGATAGAAAGCACGTTCAAAGAGGATGGTGTTGAAATGGGTCTTGAAGGAGGCAAGGGAGGGGGCGAGTCGGAGGGACTGAGGGATGGAGTTCCAGAGGGTGGGGGAAGAGTAAATGGAGTCTGTAATATTGTTTCTCAAAGCACTTCACAGGATATACTGTAAAGTGGAGTGACTGTATATTTTTGAGGAGAAAAAATTAAGAGGCAAAATTGGAGGCTAAGAGAAATGGTTAGCAGTTCATCAGTGATTTGGAAGTGGGCACTATGGCATACAGCAGTTACATTTTCATATCTTATTAATAATAACTTGCATTTATATAAAGCGGCTTTCATGCAAACTTAACCCTTAAACTTAAATAAATGTCTCAACGTGTCCTACAAGATATTATTGATTAGAAATGAAAGTAAATGTTGTTATGCAGGCTGGTTTCTGCCAGCAACATCCCATAAACAACAAGATGAGTAGCCAAGTCATAGGAATCCTATAGCTCAGTGGTTAGAGCACTTGCCTCGCAAGCGAGAAACCTGGGTTTGATTCCTGGCAGGGCTAAATGTTGGGCAAGTTTCCTTACTCCACACGCCTGTTTACCTAGCAGTAAATAGAAACACAGTTGTTAGTCGATTGGTGGATCTTTTTTCCGGGGTAATAATTCCCCCCCAAAAAATAATAATTTGGTCACTCCATCCACGACTGTTTGTGGGACACTGCTGTGCGTAATTGGCTGCCACGTTTCGTACACAAATATACAGTCAATTCACTCTACAGTATATTCTGTGACGTGCTTTAAGACATATAGATGACGTGAAAAGCCCTATATCAAATGCAAGGATGATTATTATTATTATTTGAATTTGGGGTAAAATGGATGCGGAATATAAATCAGGATTACTGGGAGGAGACTCCACATTTCTTTGAAACAGCAAAGGCCTTTACATTCATCTGAATCACGTGCAGATGGTCCCTAAATTAATAAACATAATCATGGGAAAAAAGTGAATTAGGGCCAGGATCAAACAGTTAACTGAAGGGAGTATTAGAATCAAAGACATTTACAGCATGGAAGAAGGCCATTCGGCCCATTGTGTCTGTGCTGGCTCCTTTAAGAGCAACTAGAAGAAGTTAGAGGACAACAGAAAAGCAGATTGCAGACAGCAGCAAGTGAGATCATGATATGTTTCCACTATGTTAATATTAGACAGAGTGTTAAAGCCCTGCTAGGTATTATAGGATTAAACAGGAAGAGATATTACAGAAGATCAAGAGAGGGCATGTGCATTAAATTGATTTTTCACTACAGTTTTCACAAATGAAGAACATGCTCAAATTCCACATCCAGTTGTTTCAGCTCAAGGATCTTTACCTAAAGTAAATACCAGTAGAGCATGTGTACTAGACACTCAAAGAACTGAATGTGTATAAGGCAACCCGGTCAGACAGGATACACCCTAGGACCCACAAGGAAATGAAAGAGGAAGTAGGTGAGGCTCCAGTTAATACAGTAATTTTAGAAGCTCCGTAAACACAGGAGCTGTACTTAATGACTTCAGAATAGCAAATGTTATCCTAATTTTTTTAACAGAAAGTGAAACAGCAGCCTGTAAATTACAGACTAGTTAGTGTCACATTTGTATTGGGGAAAATTGGTTCAGAGAGTTTTGCTTGATGTTATCAATACTCATTGAAAGAGTACTAATGCTACAAGAAGTAATCAACACTCAAAAGTTCAAACCTCAATCGTGTCCAAGAATTTATTGAACGGGTAATTAAACTAGTGGATAAGAGCTACCCAGTGAATATAAGGTAGAATTACAAAAAATATTGACAAAGTTTCACACATGAGGTTTTTAAAAAGGTGCAAAATAAGTGGCAAATAAGAAAATTAATTTGAAAAACACTTTACCAATAAAAAGCAGGAGGTGTTGATAAATAGTAAAAAGCTTTCTGAGAAGCAGTGAGTTGCAGAGTTTATAGAGATCTGTTCTGGAGGCATTTCACAGAATTTTGAATTCGCTGGTAATAGCAAACCATGAACATAAATAGCATTAAAGAAAGTCTGGATTAATTAAGCAATTGGATTTTAATGTGATTAGTTTCAAGGTAATAAGTATTGGTAAAATTACCATTAGTGTATCGGGAGAGGTGGGGGGAAGGTAAGTGAGGCCTTTTTGGGAGCTGAGCTGGCATCAAGGTGACGTGCTTGGCAATGAAATGTCGGAATCAAGTTAACCAGGGTATTGCAGTACTTCAGGGTAGTGCAGAACGCCTGCTGTTGACAGATCATCGACACAACTTGGGAGGCACAGACCAATTACTGGGCAGAGATTCTTCCCACTCAGCTCCCATTAACCCCGCAAGCCAAAGCCCAATGGGTAGGGTGATCCTACCTGGAAAAACAGCGGGAAAATTGCCAGACAAGTTTTAGGTGGTTAAACTCCAGCAGTACCCAAACTCACATTCTAATGTCCACAATTCCTTGGCTCTCACCAACCTGCGCTTATTACTCTCTGAAATTAGATGAACATGGTGTGTTCCTTGAGGGAGAAATATGCATTTCATTCTAGATATAGAGAAATTTTCACGTGTAGGTGGCATGTATATGTAGATTTTTCAGTTTTATTTGGATATTAAGGTGATGGGTTTCTGTATGTGACTTAGATGACCAAAACTAAATAAATATTGGAACAAGAAATGTAAATATGAAAATAACAACAAAATTACATTTATAGAGCGCCTTTCACATCGGGAGGACGTCCCAAAGCGTTGAACAGTCAGATGTCGGGGCCCGAGCATGGGGGAGGGGTGGTGTAGGGGTGAGGGAAGGCAGAGAGGTGGGAGGGAGACCAAAGGCACGGTCGAAGAGAAGGGTCTTGAGACCGGCCTTGAAGGAGGCAAGGGAGGAAGCGAGGCGAAGGGACCGTGGGATGGAGTTCCAGAGTGTGGGGGCAGAGAGGCTGAAAGCCCGGCCACCGATGGTAGGGCAGGTTGGGCGAGAGACATAGAGTAGGCCGGAGCCCGATGAACGGAGGGAGCGGGCAGGTTGGTAGGGAGTCAGCAGGTCAGAGAGGTAGGAGGGGGCAAGGCCATGGATGGCCTTAAAGGTGAGGACGAGGATCTTGAACTCGATCCTCTGGGGGATGGAGAGCCAGTGGAGTCAGGCGAGGGTGGGAGTGATGGGGTCGCGGAGCCTGTGGTATGTGGTATGTATACTGAGGTATCTTTGCTTGATTACTTTTATCGTTCAGAGAGTATCTGGGAGGATCAAGTTGTGGGTTCAAACCCACAATAGAACTTTGAATTCACAAGTAGTCTGGGCTGGACAGCAATACAGTGCTTGGGGATGCGACACATGATTAGAATGCAATCCCTTGGATGAGACTTTAAAGCCCCCACGGCACTACTCAAAAAGAGAAGGGAATTTCCCCTGGTGTTTCGGCCAACAATCCCACGGATATAATTGATAATTTACTTCATGGCTGTTTGTGGAACA